TGTTGTCTCGATCGGATTTATCATTTCCAGAGTCACCTGCTTCGGGCTCGGCGTGGTAGGGGTCGTCCCCTGCACAGCTTGTAGAGGCAGTGCTGGTAGCTCAGCAGGCGGGCTCGCCACTGCTCTCACAGGTGAGCGTCCTTGTGCCATGTGGGGGGACCCGTCCCCGGTTGCTGTTTCACCGTAGATGATCTCCCGAAGTGGTCCCAGCAAGGGGTCATCCGAAGACATGGTGGCGCACACAGTTGCCGCCGAGGTGCCTGGTGTTGGCTCTGCTTTGTCCCCCTTGGTTCGTTTGTCCTTTTTGCCCTTCTTCGCCTGGGAGGCCTTGGCTTCCGAGTTAAAGCCTTCGTCAGGGGGAGCTCCCCTTTTCTCCGCCATTGCACGAAGGTGAGAATATCTTTCTTGATGTCCCTGCCACTATCACGACCGTGACGAGGTTATAATCCCCGATCGCGGTACTTCTTGCGGTGGATCGTCTCGGAGTTAAAGTCGCTAAGTAGGGCCGCCGAGTGCAGTCACGTAGCTGAGGTCAAACTCCCTAAGGGTCAGGCGCGCGGTCACCCTGCAGGATCGTTGCACAACCAGCTCCCCGGCAAGAGCGTGCAGGAAGAGGAGCGCAGACTTGCCGTTCACCCCCTGCAGCAATCGCGGCGAGTCCCTAAGAGTAAGGGCCACTTGATGAGAAATGCGATGCACGGGGGCGTCACAGGCCACCCGAGCAAAGGTGCAGCACTTGAGCCAAAATGGCTACTCTCTCTCTCTCTCTCTCTCTCTCTCTCTCTCTCTCTCTCTCTCTCTCTCTCTCTCTCTCTCTCTCTCTCTCTCTCTCTCTCTCTACCGGGCGTAGAGGAAGGGCCAGCGTCCAGGGCCCCCCTGTGCGAGTCCGCACACCCGCGTTTCACGGGTGGTTTCATCCCCCGTCGGTTTGACTGAAAGGGGCTGGTAAAAGGAGAAGGCCAGTATGTGTTCCCCCCCAGGATCACAAGTAACTAGAGCAGACATGCGAAACTGATACTGGCCTTCTCCGGGGGCAAGAGGAAAAGGCATGCCATCCCCCGTGGCTTCGCACAGGCAAATCTGGAACGTCATGGTCGGAGTCATACTGAATTGGTGCCTCTTGTCCCCCGAATTCAGTTGCGGTAGGTGTGCTAAAAAGAACCTGGGATTAGGGCTTATGTCCAGCCCGTTGAGTGAGGGTTTGCCTGAGTAGGGCCATGTCGGCCCGCACAAAGAATTCACACCAAGTCGCAGCTTTGCTGGTACTTTCAGGCATACGGTGAGGTCACATTGAAAGACCGAAGGTATGTGCATGTGCAAGACAGCAAGGTGCATTAGGGGAACGAGGGCGGGTCAGCGTCATCCCCCGAAGTCCGAGAAAACCCAACGTCCCCGAAGAAAACACAAGGACACATCCCCCCCGCTCGCTCCCTCAAAACTTTTTACACACGCCTTCACTCACTTTGTTCAGCTTCGTCGTTCGCAGCTGGCCCGCATGTGTTGTTGGACTCGTTGCACTGCCCTCCATCTGGCGTTCGGCCGCAGCGTGGCTCTCAAGGGGCTTCGGCTTGGTGAGCGAGGTCTTTGTGTCCCCGCTGCTGAGCTTGACTCGGCCGTGGACTGTGTCGTCGTTCCCCCGAGAGCCAGGTTGGCGTCATCTTGGGCAGTGCGGTCATCATGGCTGTCGCTCCCCCAGTCCGGTGCATCGTCGCGAAGGTCTGTCTCCCCCATTGTCGGGAGTTGCTCTCTCCCCACTGTCGCACATGACTGGCTTGACCGGCTCGGTTCCTTCTCTGGCTTGCTCTTCTTGTCTTTACGTTCTGCTGTATCTCCCCGCTGGTGACGTTCTTTCCTTTCTTTTTTGGCTTTCTTGTGCACCTCCTTTTCCCCCTTCTTGGTCTTCTTGGTCTCCTTCTTCTTGGCCTTCTTGTGCACCGTCTTCTCCCCCTTCGCGTTCCTCTCGAGCTTGGGCTTCTCCGGCTCGTCCCCCTCGCGCGTCTGGAAGACACGCTTCGCTTGGGACAGAAGTGGGGAGACTTTCCACGGAAATCTCCCCACGTATATCCGCAGCTCCTCTTCCACACGTGGGTTGTGTTTTCCCACCAGCTCCACCAGCTTGTCGGCATTTCTGCCGGTGGCTCGCCTTTCGTTGTGTCTTTGCAGGTAGCACTTGTAGTCGGCGACCTCGTCCTCAAGGAGTGGCTCCCCCGTCGCCCAGTCCACGTATTGCTGGGAACGCCACAGGAAGTGGATTCTTTTCCGATCCACCGGTCCAAAGGCCCTGGCTCATATAGCAACGCCAGGCCACCTTCCGTCTCGAAGCGGACGTAGTTTGCCCATGGCTTGCCGCTTCCCCCGCCGTCGGCATCATCAGGGTTGCGGGTGCCTCCCCCGCTGTCGGCGTCTTCAGGGTTGCGACTCTGTACCAGAACTTTCTGCGCAGCTCCCCCCCGTCTGAGGTCACATGCTCTCCCCGTGCTGGTGAAGGTGCCGTTGGCGA